GATCTGATTTACAAGTTGGACTAGGCTTCTCGTAAATCTTAATCGACATATTTTCTGGATTTTATATGCAAATATGAAGCTTCTTTGCTTCAGTATGGGAAATTTCACTATCGCTTCTTGCCCCATTTTAAGCGATCTAGGCTGACTAAGTTTATTGTCGGGCGTAGCTGATAATTTTGGACAGTAAACAAAGTAAGGGAGTCAATATAAATAAACAAACAAGCCAATATTCGGATTAGGAGGAATGAATGAAGACAAATGAGTAATTATTTTGCTAGAATTAGGGAAAGATTGGCAAAAGGGAAACACGAAGAAGAGGTGAAAAAGAAAAGGAGGCTTGATTAGCTACGAGTATAATTAGGAGTGTCACACTTCACTTGAATTAGACATTGCATATTAACAATGCGCATTACCACACACGTAAAAATCCGCAGGATCATATGACTAATAATTCGGGAAAGGTACCCACATTCTCAACTACAAGAATGTATGTTATGCATGGAATAGCCTCATTGTGATCGCAAAGTTGACGATAAGAAGTGAATGTGGTTGTACCGGGCCGCCCAGTGATTTTATTTGTTAAGTATGATTTATCGGTCTTGTGATGTCTATCACCTGAAAAACAAAAATTTAGCGCAAGTTCATTGGGGCGACAGGACGATGAATTCTTCGCAGAGTCCAGCAATCTTTATTCCTCCAACGCAATCCTCCTTCGACTTATTTTCTAAACTGGAAAAATGTTATAACAATTGACTTAGAATTTCTTCGAAATTCAATTATTCTTCATATATATACTTTTCATGCCTACTTATTTAGCCATAGCAACGGGTGTTTAACCATATCCTGCGCTAGACTAAGTGTTGCCATCTTCTTTTTGAGCTGACCTGCTTTACATCTCCCAATTTTATTACACCTGCAGGAGACTCAAAGGGAACCAGTCACGAGGTGAATCTTTCCATTTTCCTGCGGGCTGCCGAATTTCTTATTGACAACCATTTGCATTCGGTAAGTCTTAAAGTTGGTTTGCTTTTAGCATAATCCTCTCTAGTACCACTTTAATTGGTCAACTCGGCTAAAGCCCATAAGCATTATTATCGACAATATTTAGAAATAGATTTAATTTATAAGTAGGCTCTCGAGAAGAGCATTTATCTGAAGTGTATTCACCTAATTTGGTTCAAGGCAATAAGGGGACCGATAGCTAAATTTTCACATAGCCTTGCCTTCCCAGAAGGTATTCTTATCCAGACAGAAATGGACTGATCTCAACTTCAGCCCCAGCTGGACTCGAACCATGACAGTGCAGAGTATCATCTCGACACGCTAACCATTACGCTTCATTGCCACGAGTGTCCTTGCGTCAGAGGGCAGATCTGAATTTCAAAAAAGGTCAGGCTTTTCTTCATATAACATTATGTGGTGGGATTGTCGATGAAGCAAAGTCATATTTGCTAACTCAATCAACTACACTACTTATATTCCGTTTATAAGTAGGCACATCCTAGATGAAAATACCTTTTGGGAAAGCAAGCCTATGTGAAATCTAGTAGAATCGTTTGGTCTATTCATATCCTTGTAAAACAAGTAAACTGTCACTCCTGTAATCATCTTAAACGAAATAGAATGAATACAGAAGTTGTTTGACCTTGTTTTCGCAACTTGG